TTTAAATTTTCATTAATTTGATCATTTTGAATTTGTGGAAGCTGGTCAATTATGGAACTATTGTCAGGCAAGGATTGAAGAACTTCATTATTAATAGAAATATCTTTATAGTAGCGGTTATTAGTTTTTAACCAGTATAACGCGTGAGCAACCTTAGTACGATGAACAGTAAAATCTCTAAATGCTTCTAGATTACTTGCAAATTGCTGGCACATAACAAGTATTTCTAATGATAATAGATAATGAGGTAGTTGAGTAACAAACTCTTATATGTCTTGGAGGAAATTTATAACATTTCCGCGATATCCATATTGGCCACCACAAAGTTTGTATACTGACATTACAGTAAAGACCTTCGCGATTAACATCTCTTCAACTTCTGTTAGATCTTGAAGCTCTTCAAGAACCTTGCCCGGATCCATGTTATTTTCTGTAGAAAACTTGATTGGCAAAGCCTTTTCAGTATAGCAGCGACGACACTTTCCCATGATAAGTACTATAGATGGAAAGCATTCATTACAGATAGGACAAAGAACATTCTGAAGCTTATTCATCTTAGTACAAAATTTTTTCAAAGGATCTCAATCAATCTCACTAAGATTTATAGCTGGGAATTGTTTTAACCTCTGTCGCAGATCTGTCTGATTGGTTTCTGATACTTTTCGTTGGTACTTTTGAGGTTCCTTAGTAATTTTATCTAGATTCTTTTTTTTTCTGTGTTACGATTAAGACGCGTTTCACGATCCTCCGGGGTTTCCCTTTCAAATTTGTTTTTTTTTCATTTACGGTCTTGGCTAAGACGATTTTTGCACTCTTCAGCACTTTCCATTAATCTCCTTTGACATTTTTTTTCACATTCGTTGATAAGACGTGTGTTACGTTGTTCAGTTGTCTCGTTTTTTTTATTTTTGCATTTTCTAATCACATCATTACTAATATATTTATTACTCATTTTTTAGTATAAAAAAAAAAAACAAGATTTATTAAAACTGATATGTAAATAATTAGGTAAGTCAAATAAGTATAATTTTTTATAATTATTTGCGATCTAATTAAAGCATATAATTTAGAATAAGATAGTGTATGCTAAGCGGTGCAGTTTAATAATGACAATTGTGTAACCAGGCACAAATTACGTTTACAAACGTTGATGCTTATAAAAGGTGTGCGCTATAATTTTCTGTTTGATTTTTACTTTTAAATAAGTAAACTTACATATTTCATTCCGCTTAAGGCTTGCGAAAACATGGGTTGTTTCTATAATACAAAATGTTCGGTGAGCTAATTTTTTTTTTCAATTTTCATTACTTTCATTTTTTTTTTTCGGTTTTCGTTATCAGGTTTTTTTTATATTTTTTTCGTTATCAGGTTATTTTTTTTTCGGTTTTTGTTATTTTAGTTTTTTTTTTTTTTCGATTTTTGTTACTTTCGATTTTTTTCAGTTTTCGTTATCAGGTTTTATTATTATTTTTTCTCGGTTTTCGTTATTAGGTTTTTTTTTATTTTTTTCAGTTTTCGTTATTTTTCATTTGTTTTTTTATTTTTTTGTTTTTTTTTCGATTTTTGTTACCTTCGATTTTTTTTTTCAGTTTTCGTTATCTTTGGCTTTTTTTTTCTCAGATTTTTAATAAGTAATAAGTGAAATTGGGGAAAAAGTAGTGATGTGTGAGAGTATAAAGTTGCTGGAGATGGATCTAGTTCTTTATTACTGTTATGTTTAGCAGATAAAGGAGGCTTCGGAGGTTTTTTATTATGTTTTTTTATTTATTTTTTTTTTAAACTTTTTTTTTGCATTTGAAGATGTGAGCTCTTAATCGATTAACACAACTAACCACCAGTAAAAGGGATATTTTGAAATACGTAAAAGTAAGTATTCATTTATTTATTTAAAGTAAAGCATAGGAGATTATAATAATATTAATCAATCTATATTATAGAATTTCATTAATAAGTTTATTAAAAAGCAAGTAAATTTTTTTATTATCATTATTATTATTATTATTATTATTATTATCATTATCATCATTATCATTATTATTATTATTATCATTATCATTATTATTATTATTATTATTATTATTATTATTATTATTATTTGATTTTATTTAAATATATATACTGTATATAATATTTAAAATTTTTTTATATGATTTTTTAAATAAACAAATTTAAAAATATAATATATTGAAAATTGCATTATATACAAAATTTTATTATATACAAAATTTTATTATCAAAATTTTATTAAATTTTAAATTTATATTCGGTTGTTTTTTTTTTTAAAAAAAATTTATTTTATTTAATTTTTTAATTTTAACAATATGTTCTATTGAATTTATTGAAAATTAATTGCTTAATGCATTATATTTATTGTATATTAATATTTAAATTCATTTAAAAAAAAAAAAAAAAGTAAACTCTTAAAAAAAATTAATAATTTTTGATATTAATAATACGTAATTTATTTGTTTATTTATTTATTTTTTAAATTAATTATAAAATATTAAATAAGAAAATTAAGAAAAACTATACCAAATACAATACATAATAATTTTTAATTTTTATATTTTGTTATTAAAGACAAATACGATATACAGTATATAAATTTTTTTAAAAGAATACATTTTTTTAAAAAATATATACAGTATACACCATATGTAAATTTTTAATTACTTTATTTTATGTTAAATCATTATTAGCAATGTATAAAATATAATGATAACGATAATTATTATAATTTAATTAGATTTTATTTTTTTTAAAAATAATAGGCATACAATGTATATACAGTATATTATAAAAACCGTTTTTTTTTTAAAATAATATACTGTAATATTTAATCATCATATGTTAAGTTCTAGTGTTTACAAGTTTACTATACTATATATAGTCCCGCGCTTACGCTCCGGACTAATTAATTAATTAAAAGCATCGTGTATAGATTGTGTTGATTGCTTCACATACAAATATGATTTTAATTTAATTATCGTTGTCAAAAATTATGAACAAATATTTATTAATACGTATACGATGTTTTTTCAAAATTTCCAATCTATCGCAAATTATGTGTGATTAGGCGATACAGTAATTCCCAATGAACCTTTCATGAAACCCTTGTAAACAAAATATATTCGCAGTTTAAGAAAAGTATCATATCATGTGAATACCGATTGTACTCTTTACGGGAACGGGACAAACAAACAAATGAAAATGAAAATAAATGAACAATGAAAAAAAACTAATATAAAAGTAGTCATATTATTAATTAATCTAATTTGTATAGCTTCGGATAAAGTGTCTTCATCTCGTAAATGACACCCAGATTGGCATGGAACAATGCAAGAGAATATACATTATGGTTGCTATACAGTAGATTAATTTGCCGAACTTTGAAGAAAAAACTTATTCTCACCTTCCAAAAGAATAACCATAAGGATGGGCCATAATATGTAAATCATAAAGACTTTGGGAATTGGGAATAATGTTATTTTTCATGACTTGTGAACACCACGAGGGAAATTATTAGTTAATCGCGCGGGCTAGCTCATTAGTTCTAATATTCGGGAATTTGATGAGATAAATCAGTGATTTTTATTAATCTAAAATTACTGGAAAAATCAATATCTTTCGCGAACATTTTTGTTTCTCTTCGAGACACAGGCAGATCTTTGCGAATAATGGTTAGGTCTATTTGTAAAAAAAACAAACGATCCCACTAAACTAATAATGCATTCATTGAAAAGGCCGACGGAGAGACATTATTGTCAGTGTGCGTGCTCCTTTGCCATAAGTAAATTGACAAAACCATGCGTATTTTTTGTGTTTGGTTACATGGTGCCATTAACGTTTCATAGTGCTTATGAGATTATATACCGATCATGAGCAGTTGAAAAGAAAAAAGTAATAAACAAACTCCAATTAAAATAATCAATTCAATTGTCAACCAAATTGATTTAGCGTTCTTTAACGAGCACACGGACTTTGAAGTTAACCCTTAAAGTTAATCACTAAGATGAAATACCGGAACGCACGTACAGGGCTCATGCGTATTAGAATGGATACTGTTGAGCATTTACGCCATAGAAAAATGAACCGTGCCAAATTGTTCACAAAAACTCTAATCGTTCCAAATAAATTTTAATACGCGAGTATATTCTTTAAATCTTTCCTTATTTTGTGCCTTTATTAAATTTGATACATGAATCGTTTTTCGATATAATATGATGTGACAAAAAACGAGCATAACTTACTGAAAAGGAATTCGTCAACACATTTTTTTGAATATAAAACTTTCTGGTAAGACGAAGAGCATTTTTCAGAATCTTCTTCTCATATCAACCATTCTTTCCTTTCCTTTCCTTTCCTTTCCTTTCCTTTCTCTTCCCTTCCTTTCTTCCCTTCCTTCCCTTTCGATTCTATTCTTTATCATTCGAAAATTTATAAAATTCCTTCCTGTTCATCCTTTAACACATTCATTCATTCATTCATTCAAGTGATTTATTTATTTTATTTTAATATTGGTTGAAAAATTTTACAACCCTTCTACCCTTTTTCATGTCTTCCTATTTCTCTTTCTCGACGCATCCATCCTTATTCACAAATACACACGAATTCTAAATCTTATCAACTCTCTCATTAATGTATATTTAAATCGTTATTTGACATTCATTCTTTTTTTTCTTTTTTTTTTTAAAAAAACAATAATTAACTTAACTAGTAATTCATCAAACAACCAATTATTTTCATTTCATCAATTTATCTCTTGAACTTTTTTAAGAGCAAACAAAGTAGAATTTTCAACGCAAAATCGACAATGCGATGCATCTTTTTTCATCAATTAAACGAAATTTAATTTTAACTGCATCATTGATTTTATTTTGTAAAATTTCTTCTTATCAATTGGATTTTGCGGAAGCTGTAAAGCTTTCACGTGAATTCCACGATTATGATGATGAAAATTTACGAAATAAATTATTTATTAAAAATGTTAAGAAGGACGCGCAACTCATAGGGTTCACTGACATCTATAACAATAGTACCGATGATACAAATTACGTAGCGGTGGTCAACGTTGTGGCAGTGATTTTCGGTAATTTCGATTTGGTCGCCTGTTCTTATGTGGTATGTAATCCATTGACGACGATTCATATATCCATGGGCACGATTCGACATGAAATATTTATATTTTGATCATAGATATATTCGGCATATATAAAGGGTCGAACGCAGTCTCTGTCAATGTCAGATCGTGTTCCGTTGTACCTCAGCATTTCGGACGTGGGTCAATGTAAGAAATCTTAACATTTGTAATTTGTCCTGGCAATGATTTTTATCATTCATTTTTAATCATATTAATTTTTCGTTCATTCATACCAACAGACATCTTATTCATGCCAAACTTTGTTTACTCAATGATATACAATCATACGATTTCCGGTTTTGGTTGCAAAGTGATCGCTTATTTGTTTTTCCTACAGATGAACATAGATTTGATTTTGATGACAAGCATCTCCGTGATCACTTATCTGGTGAGTTTAATCATGTGAAATACCGATGCAGAATAAAAACTAACCGACAATTCATTTTTTGGTGACAGAGGGTTGTAAAACGCTCTAGAATATTATTAGGATCTTACGATTGGTAAACCGAAATTCAATAATATCACATATCATATGACTTCATGCTAATTGCTTACTTCATTTTTAGGAAATTCTTTGTTTCGATAATGCTCCTTTCTATCGCGTTGTCGTCACCTTCGATTGCATCAGTTGGTCCCTCGCGTTATTGGTGTTTGACAAACGTCAGATCCGTGAACGTCTTGTTAATTGACGATTACGTTCTATTCATCATAGCTTTTGTGATAACATGTTTCTGTTATTTGCAAACATTATATACCATATTCAACGTGGATCGTGAAGAGATGACTGATTCTTCGGAACGAATTGATAGGTGGAATAAATTGGAGAGACAAGCAATAAAAAAGATAATGATTTATATTACCTTGTTTATGATGAAGTGGATTCCGTTGATGACCTTTGGCATTGGGATCATGTCGGGCTACGAAGACATTTGGATATTTATTCTTTTTGTTATTTGTAAGTTTTTATGCGAAAAGTTCTTTCGCCTTTCTTCGTAATTAATCTTGATTTCGTGTTTTTTAGCGTTCAACTTGGGAGGGATTTGCAATTGTATATTATACCTTATGAACGGAGACAGTCCCGAACACAATGACTCGGCTCCAGAACAAGCCACAAACTCCACCGCGTCACTTTCACAAAAAACCAATACTCACCAATCGGAAGTATGTCAGATCACATTGCCGCCAGAAGCCTATATACCCCAAAACCGCGATTCCATGGCGGATAGCGTTATACTGAATTTAGAAGAAAAAGTGATACGATATCCTCCTAGCGGCAGTAGTGAGCAGAATAACTATAGTTCCATGGTCGGTGATGACGAGTCAAGCGGAAGCGACGACGACGAAATTAGAGTTATTGGCGTGACGTGAATGTTTCCTTGTGCGGTAGAGAATCAAAATAATGAATATATTGCGATTCTTTAATCTCAGACATCTGGTAGAGTGCGTTTACATCAATATTCCTACTTGAAAATTAACTCACCACTGTATACCTCGCTTTCAAGTTTATGTCTGCTCTAAGCAGCGTGTTCCTCAATAGCAATAATTAATTTGTTATCAGGATAGTGTAATATTCAATGAACATGTAAATAAAAATTTTTAAAGTTCATTCAGCATTACCTTATACTGTATATCATGACTCGTATGGAATTCTACCGATTGATTCTCGAATTTTAAGACTGCACAAAGTCAATTAAACAATAACCGATTAAGAGTCTTGAAACTTTAAATAACAAAGCATTAAAAAGTTGTCATTCATTGGATTATTAAAAAAGTATTCTTACTATGATACCAATATACTAATTCATTTAATCATTTAATCAATAATTTTGGTTTTACACGTATCATTTAAAACAACCATTAAAATCCAACTTTCGTATATAAACACCATTTCATTTTATATAGTAATTAATAAAAAATAATAAATGTATTTGCGTGATAATGGTTGAATTCAATATAGAACTCTCCAAGATCATCTTTTGCCAGCCCTTCGAAATTTCAATGGAACCAATTGGAATCATAGTAACCACCCTTGGTTTCAACACAATAATACAAGGCCACACGTTGTGAAAATTACAAAAAAGTTTCTTGCTAATAAAAATATTCGGGTTATGGACTAGCCTTCTTGAAGTTCAGATCTTAACCCGATCGAAAACCTCTGGCATTATATTAAAGTTTGGGTTCGTGAGACCAAACCTAATAATTTAATAGAGCTCGAGGATTGTGTTTTAAAATGTTAGAATGAGATCGATCCAGCATACTGCAAACAATTGATCAAGAGTATGCCACATCATATTACGGCTTGTTAAGTTTGTATTTATTAATCTTATCTAAGAAACAATAATATAATATATAATATATGACCAGTGGGTCAATAGCACAGTAGATAGTGCTCCCTGGTCTCCAAATGCATGTTCCTAGTTCAATACCTACAGGGGGAAAAACGCATAATATTCCTTTATTTGTGGGTTTACCGATTTTTCTACAAATGTTGTATTCCAAACATCCGGATCCTGACCAAATTTAGTTAGGCTGCATGAAGATGAGACCTTTGGTCTTCCCGACGATCGCAGGCTGAAAATAGGTCAAAGCACAGAAAGTTACATGAGAAAAGGCTTCTGGTCTAACTCCTATAAAAGCCCACAAACCCCCTGGTACAGCAGATTCCGTAGCACAAAGAACACTCAGCCTGGGGCTATCCCAATCCGATACTTGCTTAAAAGAAGATGACCTGATGAAAAGGGAAATCCGAAGCCGCAGGTGGTGACAAAGAGTACAGTACTTTCTCCGAGGAACCAGGCGAAAAGTATTGAACAGGTTATCCGGATATTCTAACCAACCCTAAAAGATACATGCTCCAAATGACAACTACCAGGATCTAGATTAGGTTAGATAGTTTATAAACTAATGGTAGTATTTCTATCTCCTAAAGATCCCACCCGATGTGCAGATCCACCTTCGCGATGGTAAATCGGTATAACTGGATAAGGTTATAGGTAGGAGTGTGGGTTAACTTAAATGGACCTTGTAATCATGTAATTGGATATAAATCACTCAATAAAGATCATGTACTATTAGTGCTCTTTACCTGAAAAAAATATATATATATATATAATATATAATATAAATTATATTAAAACTAAACTATTTTTTTATATTAAAATATTCGTTAATAAGTTATATAAATTTATATATAATTCTTAAATCCTTAATATTAAAATTATTATATTACCTATATAATCTAATTATTTACTAATTATTTTATTATAAAAGAATTGATTTATTAAATTAT